ACAAAAAAAAAAAAGACTTGTTTTACATTCCTGTTCCATCCAAATCTGGCTGCCATCATCAAAAAGCACCAGAAGGCTCAGCTTGTTCTGGTTGCAGGAGTCGTCCGTGGGTGGCTGGGCAGCCAGCAAGGGGACGGGAGGGGGATCTAACCCAGACTGGCTATCAGATCAACAGCTGCTGCAGACTTTAATTTCCTTTTATAGAAGGGAGATCGTGGGAACTGTTGCTCTTCATAGCCCATGGAGTCTTCAGCCTAAAAAAAACCAGCCCTCCCAGGGGAACCAGAGGCTACGTCACATCTCAGATGCCGGTCTGTGTGTTTGCTCAGGTTTCTCCACGGCCAAGAGCAGCGTGCTTGCCTCAGCTTCCACAGGGACCTGTGGAGCCTCCCTCCCTTTGTGGCTCCTGGACCATGGCTTGGAGTCACAGGAGGGGAGAAGTCCGGTGGGGTTACGGGTGGGTGGTAAGGGGGATGCAGAGTTAGGGGAGGGGGTGTGCATCGCGGGCAAAGCAGAGAACTTGTGCCTCAGCTGGTCCTTCCTATCTGCTTTTAATAAAAAAATGGGATAAGCCTGGGGTGGCCAAGGGGAAGGGGACAGAGCTTCCATGTGGGAAGCTCACCTCGTTAACACTGCTTACACCTTTTCTTTTGATGCCCACCACTGCGGTCCTTGCTCTTACCAGCAGCAGAAAAGCAGTCGCTTGAGGCCGGAGTTTATTGACACTGAAAACAAATGCCAAGGCACGGAGCCTTCAGAGAAGTTTGGTGGCAGTCACAGTTCACATGGTCTGCACAGGAAGCTATCTACAGCAACCGGGAAGCCACAGAGAGCACACGTTATCACCACTCTGCAGGATGCACTCTATCTGCCGTACACAGGGAGCTATATATAGAGAGCCATATATAAAAATATAGAAGATCCCCGTGGCTGTGTTGGGAAGCGTTGAGTTGTGTCTCATCCAGACACAACTCTAGCAGAATCCTGTCCCTGGCCTCCCCTGGAGAGCTGCACATTTCACAAGGATGCTGGGCGGCCAGCACTGCCCGAGGACAGCTGATGTGTGAAGTGCAAGTGTACAGACTGGAGCACAAATATACCCAGCCCTCCTAAAAATTCTGATTCCCTCTAAAGTATTTTTATGCTATTTGTAGAAACAACCCCCTCACCCCACTCCCCATTCCCAGCTATCAGCCTTGCAGATCAGCACTACGTTAAACAGTCCCACCAGCAAAACTGTCCTTAATTTAAGAATTTGCAGACTAGGGGAGGGGGGAAGGGTGTGTGGATTAAAAAAATTACAGTGTTGAAATTTAACTAAAGAACTGTAAAAAAAAAAACAGCCCAGGAGGGTCCTTAAGAGGCTACCAAACTGCCCCAAGGCAGGGTCAGCTGTCCTATGTTTTTCCTGAGAGTTGGTAGTCTGACCTGGTGTGAAAGAGCACCCCTGGCAGCGGGGGCAGCAGGTTTACAGACACCTTCAGAGTGATGCTCCTCCGCAATGGGCATGGAGTTAAAGGAGCCTTTAATGGCACAATAAGCAGTACAAAGGCTGGGTTCAAGCTTAAAATGTAATTTGGTAAAGTGAGCCTGTTTTTGCAAGGCGCGGTCATGATTTAAAGAAGGTTGCTAAATGAAGACTCCTGGACAGCGGAACAGCAAGTAAATATAGCTCTGTGCTGAGGGAAAGCCTTAAATTACCCAAAGGCAGCATACAATTTCAGCAGCAGTCCTGTGTGTTTGGCTTTCTAGGCAGTACGAGCACCACTCCTTTCCCACAAGCACTCAGGGTGGGTGATGTACAACAGAAAGCTGTGCCTCAGCTTCTATTCTGCCATTTTCAACTCAAACTGTCCTTTGGTGAACTCCCCGTAAAAGGATAAGGTGGGATCCTCCCTCCCAGGGTGAGGGAGATCTTCTGATAGATGCTGTAGCAAAGGGGACATGGGGAGAGGTCTTGCAGGAATAGCTTCATAAAGGTCTCCATG